GCCAGAGGAGGCTGATCCGTGCAGAAGGAGCTGCAGTCCCTCCTCTGGCAGTGGGGTCGCCAACTCTGGCTTGGGGAATTCCTGGAGATTTGGGGGAGCAAAGCCTTGGGAGGGCGGGGTTTGGGGAGGGGGTGGGACCCTGGCAGGGTAGAAGGCCGTAGAGTCTGTCCTCCAGAGTGGTCATTTCCTCCAAGGGAAATGATCTCTGTGGTCTGGAGATCTGTTAAGATTCCAGGAGATTTCCGGGCCCCACCAGGAGGCTGGGAACCCTAATGCAGAAAGAGGAAGAAGAAGAGGAGGAGGAGGAGATTGGATTTATCCCCCGCCCTTCACTACCCAAAGGTGTCTCAGAGTGGCTCACAAACTCCTTTCCCTTCCCCTCCCTCACAACAGACACCCTGTGAGGGGGGTGGGGCTGAGAGAGCTCTCTTGAGGACTGCCCTTTCAAGGACAGCTCTTGTCAGAACTACGGCTTGCCCAAGGCCATCCAGCCAGGTGCATGTGGAGGAGTGGGGAATCAAACCCGGCTCTCCCAGATTAGAGTCCGTGCACTCAACCACGACACCAAACTGGAGTAGAAGGAGAAGGAGGAGATTGGATTTATACCCCGCCCTTCACTACCCAAAGGTGTCTCAGAGTGGCTCACAAACTCCTTTCCCTTCCCCTCCCTCACAACAGACACCCTGTGAGGTCGGTGGGTCTGAGAGAGCTCTTGACAGAAACTGCTCTTTTTCAAGAACAGCTCTTATCAGAACTACGGCTTGCCCAAGGCCATCCAGCCAGGTGCAAGTGAACATAAGAACATAAGAGACGCCAATGTTGGATCAGTCCAAAGGCCCATCCAGCCCAACACTCTGTATCACACAGTGGCCAGAAATACCAGTGCCATCAGGAGGTCCACCAGTGGGGCCAGTGGGGGAATCAAAGTGGAGGAGTGGGGAATCAAACCCGGTTCTCCCAGAATAGAGTCCGCGCACTCAACCACTACACCAAACTGGCTCTAGGGTTGCCAGCGGTTTTCCCTCTAAGCTGAGTCAGTGTGAGCCAGCACACAGTATTTTAGCCTCCGGCTCACACGTTTTTGCCTTCGCTCAGGAAGGAGGGCTCCAGAGCAAACTGATCTATGCCGCAGCCCAATCACTCGCTCACAACTTGAATGCCAGGAGCTCACAAGGTAGAACTTTTGCTTATAAGACTCCACAGCCTAGAGGGAGTGTTGGTTGCCAGCTCCTGGTTGGGAAATTTCTGGAGATTGGGGGTGGGTGGGGTTTGGGGAGGGGAGTGACCTCAGGAGGGTAGAGGGCCATAGAGTCCACCCTCCGAAGCAGCCAACCCCTCCAGGCGAGCTGATCTTTGTGGTCTGGAGATCAGTTGTAAATCTGGGGGGATCTCCAGGCCGAGTGCCAAAGAATAGATTCTTTTGAACTAGGGTGCTGGAGAAGACTCTTGAGAGTCCCTTGGACTGCAAGAAGATCCAATCAGTCAATCCTAAAAGAAATCAGCCCTGACTGTTCCCTGGAAGGCCAGATAATGAAACTGAAGCTCAAATACTTTGGCCACCCAATGAGAAGGGAGCACTCCCTGGAGAAGACCTTGGTGCTGGGAAAGACTGAAGGTCAAAGAAGACGGGGACGGCAAAGGATGAGATGGTGAGACAGTGTCATAGATGCAACAAACATGAAGTTGAGCAAACTTCAGAGGACGGTGGAAGACAGGAGGGCCTGGCGTGATCTGGTCCATGGGGTCGCGAAGAGTCGGACTCGACTGTGCGACTGAACAACAACAACCAGCCCCCACCTGGAGGTTTGCAACCCATTGGACAGGGGGCATAAAAGGTCTTCTGATCCTACACTACTCACTGCCAGAGCAGCAGCTGGCAGGGGATACATCACGCTGTTGTTCGTGTCCAGTTTCGCTAGACTCCTGCCGCTGGATTTGGCTGGTAAATTCCAGCCAGCGTGTGAATCTCAGATTCTTCAGATACGTTTATGCCCAGAATTCAACTTCGCTGGTCTAAAAGGAGCCAATGGACTCAGACTTTGTTCAGTAAGAAATACAGGCCTGTAAAAATCAACCCTACGATGATTGGAAAAACGGGAGCAAAAATGATCAAAGTTCTTCATATTGCTTCATCATATTATAGCAAGTAATATTTATAAAAAGCAAATGAGGTTTCAGGCAGTGTCCCCTCTAATCCCCCCCCCCCACTGAACAGACCAGTTCACATCGTGAGCAGAAGAGAACTGCTGTAATCTTTAAAATGGGTAATGCGCGATGCTCCCTCTAAGCTTTGGGGTCTTGTGAGCAAAACGTCTCCTTTGTGAGCTGCTGGCATTAAAGTTGTGAGCGAGCGATTTGGCTGCTGCATAAATCCGTTTGCTCTGGTGCCATCCTCCCTGGGCTAAGACAACAATGTGTGAGCCGGAGGCTAAAACACTGTGAGCTAGCTCACACTAACTCAGCTTAGAGGGAACACTGCCGTACAAGACCCTGCGCGGCTCCCAACGGCTGCTGAGCAGGCCTTCCTGTGTTAAGGAGCGGCCGCTCGCCTGCACAGCCTCGAGGGAACACACTGGCTTCGGGGATTTTTTTCCTCCCTGCTTTTACAGATTATCAAAAAGCCCAACCCATGCACACACCCAGCCAACTCTCCTAATCTTCTTCTGAATCTTCTGCCCAGAGAAATCTGATTTGCTTATCACGGTCGTGCATATTTGTTGAAACATATCCATCTTATCTTTTCCTAAATCCGCTCTATCATACTCCTGTGATATCGATGATTGATTGATTGGTTCTTGACTGAATATGAGACAAGCAACACAACCGTAAATGAGCCGATCAGCCAGGGCTTAGGAGTTACCTCTCACAGAGGAAGATAAGAAGGCCAGCTTTAACCCTTAACCTGTATTAAAAAGGAATTAGTCTCACTTTTCCGTAACCATTTCCCAGGGGTCATTTCGTAGAAAAAGAGGTGCAGGAGCTCATTAGCATAACTCATTAGCATGGCTTATTTGCATATGCCACACCCCCTGACACCACCGCTCAGGCTCCACTGGACTGTTTTGGATTGCTAGCTATTGGGGGGGGGGAACGTGGAGATCTGCCCTCACAGAGGAGGGAGAGCTTGTACCTGAATAAAACTTCGTCTTAAAGGTGCCACTGGACTGTTTTGGACCGGGGAGCCAGGGGGGGCTCCGCAACTTACCTGGCTGCTTCTTGCTCTGACTGAGGGCTGCTGGGAGCAGGGGGTGGGGCTTGTTGCACGTGCCACTCTTTACTTCCGGAGCTCCGCTTCTGTGCGCTCCCGCAGGAAATGACCCCTGCCTTCCCCTCCACACAACAGACACCCTGCAAGGTAGGTGGGGCTGAGAGAGCTTCTGACAGAAACTGCTCTTTTTCAAGAACAGCTGTGCCAGAACTATAGCTTGCCCAAGGTCATCCAGCAGGTGCAAGTGGAGGAGTGGAGAATCAAACCCGGTTCTCCCAGATTAGAATCCACGCACTTAACCACAACACCAAACTAGCTCTCAAAAACAAAATAACCTTGAAAGGGTTACCTAGAAACTGTTCTCCTTCTGTGGAGTCTTGTGAGCGAAAATTCTACTGGGTGAGTCACTTGCATTAAATTTGTGAGTGAGCAATTTGGCTACTGCATAAATCACTTTGCTCTGGAGCCATCCTTCCTGAGCGAAGACAAAAAATGTGTGAGCTGGAGACTAAAAGTCTGTGCGCTAGCTCACACTAACTCAGCTTAGAGGGAACACTAGTGCCAACATATAAATCTCTGTAGCAGCCTCTTAGTCTAAATGTTTTTTGTTTTTATTCTTTTCTATTTGTTCTATTCATTTGTTTTTAGTATTTATAGCCTGCCCTTCCCGCAAGCGGGCTGAGGGCGGGTAACAACATAATAGCAGTACAATATAATTAAACTATTAAAACACAATCGTTGGACATTAAAATTGGTAGTCACAGCCCAAGGATAGAAATTGGCTGGTCACAAGAGGTCCCTGGCCCATTGGTAACAGATGGATAACAGCCAGCTATTATTGGGTGGGAGCAGGGCTTTTTTTTGTAGAAAAAGCCTAGCAGGAACTCATTAGCATATTAGGCCACACCCTGACAGCACAGCTCATTGGCATATTAGGCCACACCCTGACAGCACAGCTCATTGGCATATTAGGCCACACCCTGACAGCACAGCTCATTGGCATATTAGGCCACACCCCCATGTTACCAGAAGTGTGCTCATCCAGCCACACCCCCCTTTTGCTTCTTATTCTGTTTACCTTGTTTGTTGTCAAAACCCAGGGCCTTTTTTTTGTAGCAGGAACTCCTTTGCCTGTTAGGCCACACACCCCTAATGTAGACAATCCTAATGAGTTTCTGCTATTGGGTGTGGCCTATTATGCTAATGAGTTCCTGCTGGGCGTGGCCAACTCGAAAGCCAGTCAGAACTCCGTTCCTGTGCGTTCCTGCCCAAAAATAGCCCTGGATGGGAGACAGAAACCTCAGGTAGGCCATATATGGACGTCCGCCACCTCAGCCAAAGGCCTGGCGGAAGAGCTCCGTCTTGCAGGCCCTGCGGAATTGAAGAAGATCCCACAGGGCCCTGATCTCAATGGGGAGCGTGTTCCGTCAAGTGGGGGCCAGGGCAGAAAAGGCCCTGGATGTCTTTCAGGCCAGGGGCCACCAGGAGATGTTGATCCATAGAGCGTTAGGCTCTCCAGGGTGTGTATGGGGAAAGGCAGTCTTCAGGGATATGGTCACCCTCAGTTCCCGGAGGAGGGCATTCTGTAGGCGGGGCAGCCACTGACAAGACCATTCCTCGGATTCCGGCCAGCCAAACGTCAGAGAAGACTGGTTCCCTAATGGCGACCCTTCATGCAGATCTCTTGGATCAGATGTGGGGAATGTCTAGTGGGGGGGCCTGTATGTAATTCCCACTTTCCCTTCTCTCTCTCTCTCCCTCCCCCTCCCTCTCTCTCTTTCTGTCCCCCAAGGTTCACGCCCACATCATCAGCCACCTGAAGAAGGACATGCCCTCCGTCTTCGGCAAGGAAAACAAGAAGAAGCAGCTCATCAACAAGCTGCCGGTCATCTTTGCCAAGATCCAGCTGGAGCATCACATCTCGCCCGGCGATTTCCCCGACTGCGAAAAGATGCAGGTGAGAGGAACTTCCCGCTCGGCCGCCCCGCCCTGAACAGCCAGCGGCATTTTGGGTGCAACAGACAAAAAATGGCGCCCACCCCTAAGCGGAATTCCCATCTTTTCCATTCCACTCTTGGTCCTTTTCTGAGAATCTCTCTGGTCAAAGAACTCCTCGTGTGAGAAATCCCACCCCCAACTGACCTTTTCACGCCTACTTCAGGTTTCGGGCCTACTTCCAGTTGGGGGTGAAGCTCTGGTTTTGGGGCAGAACTCGGTGGTTTGAATAGGGCTGCCAAGTGGGGGCGGGTGGGTGGGTAAACCCCCGCTTCGGAGGCCCAATTTCCACCACCGTGGAATTGGGCCCCGGGGGGGGCTCTGCCCCCCAGAAGCCCTCCCACTGTTGCCCCCCAAGCACCAAGGAGACAGAGCATCATTGTCCCAGACATAAGAACATCAGAGAAGCCATGCTGGATCAGGCCAGTGGCCCATCCAGTTCAACACTCTGTGTCACACGGTGCCAAAAACCCAGGGGCCATCAGGAGGTCCACCAGCAGGGCCAGAACTCCAGAAGCCCTCCCACTGTGGCCCCCCAAGCACCAAAAATACAGAGCATCACTGCCCCAGACAGAGTGTTCCCTTTATACCTTGTGGCTAATAGACACAGATGGACCTCTGTTCCATATGTTTATCCAATCCCCTCTGGAAGCTGCCTATGCTTGTAGCCGCCGCAACCTCCTGCAAGAGAGAATACCAAGTGTTACTTACTCTTTGGGTACTATTATTCTGGTCTCTAGACCAGAGAGGATTAAGTCTATTTTGCCAGATGGTGCCAATACACGAGTCCGAGAAAGTAATTCGTAGAAAAACTGATTTTTATTCTACTGCAGAAGGATTCAACAGTTAGTACTCACGTTCCATCAGTGGGCTGAGTAACACAGTTAATGTTGAAGGATAGAGTCAATGTTCTCAGATTTCATGGTGGAAAGGAATTACTTCCGTGCATCTCCTTGCTGATAAAGAGATTAGATAGAGCAAAAACACAGAAAGAGGGCAATTAACCCATTTTGCGCTTCTAAACTTTATATATCTATTTATTTATTTTGGGATTTATATCCCGCCCTACCCGTACGGCCCAGGGCGGCAAACAAGCGGCAACGCCGGAAATAAAACATAGGTTACATTAAAACCTCAAAAAATACAAACTAAAACTTGATCTAATAGAGTGAGCTAACGTAGAACACGTGGCCTACAAAGGCAGGGGTCATTCTGTAGAAAAAGAGGTGCAGGAGCTCATTAGCATAACTCATCAGCATAACGCATTTGCATATTCCACCCCCCCTGACATCACCGGAAGTGTGTCAGAAGGCAACCCCCACCGCTCAGGCTCCACTGGACTGTTTTGGATTGGGGGGAACGTGCAGATCTGCCCTCACAGAGGAGGGAGAGCTTGTCCCTGAAGGGGGCCCGGGGGGGGGGGCTCTGCAACTTACCTGGCTGCTTCTTGCTCCTTGTGGCCCGACTGAGGGCTGCTGGGAGCAGGGGGCGGGGCTTGTTGCATGTGCCTACCCCCTGGGCTCCTTACTGCCGGAACTCCGCTCCTGTGTGCTCCCGCAGGAAATGGCCCCTGTACATAAACTACATCTCCCAGAAATCTCAGGTTTAAAGATACAGAACTATTTACTGATCTGTCTTACTGCCTGTCTTACTAGAATCTGCTACGGGCAGCACAACTATCTTGTAGGAAGATGGTAGGAGAAGAAGAAAGCAGGGCCATGCACTTTGGGTGTCTCATTCTTCACCCTCCTCCCTGGTCTCTCTTCAGGAGCTGCTGATGGTGCATGACTTCACCAAGTTCCACGGACTGAAGCCGCGCATGATGGACATTTTGGACGAGATGCTGACCACGGACATCGCCAAGCTGATGCCCCTCTTGCGCCAGGAGGAGATAGAAGACCCCGATCAAGTCGTTCAGGGTGGGGCCTTCGACGGCACCCGCAATGGCCCCTTTGTGGAAGGCGCGGCCGAGGGGGCCTATGAAGGAATGGACGACGAAGAGTGGGTGGTGACCAAGGACAAGTCCAAGTATGACGAGATCTTCTACAACCTCTCCCCGATGGACGGCAAACTGAGCGGCACCAAGGCCAAGAACTGGATGGTCACCACCAAGCTGCCCAACTCCGTGCTGGGCAAGATCTGGAAGCTGAGCGACGTGGACCGCGACGGCATGCTGGACGACGAGGAGTTTGCTCTCGCCAGCCACCTCATCGAGGTCAAGTTGGAGGGCCACGGCCTGCCCTCCGATCTGCCCCGCCACCTCGTGCCACCCTCCAAACGCCGACAGAAGGGGTCGGCCGAATAAGAAGGCCTCCTAGGCTTGCCCCCTTCCGTATACCAGGCTTGAACTGCTCCAGTAGGCCTTGGTTCCGCCCCAACTTTCCACCTTCTGTCCACATCTTGCTTCAGGCGGCCTTTCCCCAGGCTTGAAACCCTTCGTGAAAACCCCATTCCCCCATAAAGATCATCAGGAGGTCTTTATTCGCACTGAAACGAAACTTCGGCTGTACTGTCCGCTTCCTTATCTATCCCTGCTGGGCTCAAGAAACACTTGTCGTTCCTCTTCTTGTAGGCCTTGCTCCTCCCGGCCTGGTTTGAACTACTTTGGTTGGCTTCCTAGGGAAAGCTCTCCACATTGACCTCTGAGAATCGCTTGAGATGCGCCAGCGATGATATGAATTTTCAACCGTGTGAGACTTTCCTCAGCTGTCTTCTGGTCCAGCAAGAACCGGGCTCAAACTTGGCATCACTCCCCCTCTTATATCACACGTGAACTACTTCCACGAGGCAGGTTCACACGGACAGTCTGACCCGTGTCAGACTTACGAGAAGACCGGTCTCCAAACTGTGTTGATCGTGACTGTCTTTAACAGGCCCCGGAACCTTCCACTGACTGTGGCCTGCTTGGTTGTTCTGTTAGAGCATCATCCTTTCAGTGTTACCCTCCACTATGAGCATAGTCCCCACTTGGCACCCATTAGGTCTTGGGTTCAGGGTCCGCTGCTCATTTCCGTTCGATGTCTTAGCCTCACAAGACAACTTTGTTGACCACCAGAGTTTTTGGACCAAACAAAAGGAACCAGTGAGTTGTAGTTTCGCAGGAGGAGGAGTTTGTGCTGGCTCCCTTCGCCATCCTTATGAGTCAGATCGGGTGAGATCCCTCCTTTTAAGCGGTGTCCCTTACATCGGGGGCTTGGCCATAACCATAGGGGATGCTTTGGGCACAATCTCACCTTCACAGCCTTTGAAGAGCTGCTCTTCACAGGCAGGTAGGAGAGGGTTCCTCGTTGACCGGAGGGGAAATAAATCATCCCCACAGCTTCTTTCTCTTGCTCTCTTTCTGGAAGTGAGCAGTTGTAGAACCCCGTTCTTGAGCAAGCAAAGCGGGGAAAGGTCCCTATGCAGAAAATAACACTGGGATTCAAACGAAGACTAAACAGTGGTCATTGGTCAACGCAGCCTCAGCAAGCAGATTGGGGGGTGGTTATTAGGAGGTCAGTTCTTTCATTTCCTATTGGAGAGAGGGAAAGGCCATTTAGATTTCCTTCCAAATGTCCCCAGCACTGTGACAGTCCCCCGCGCTAGCTTGGGGGCAGAACCTTCTTTCCCAACTCTACGTCCTGCTGACGACCCCACACCCAGAAGCTCCGGGATCCAGCCAGGAGTAGACGCGATGCTCGTTCTCCAGGTCAGGGTCTAGGGAACAGTTCCTCCTCTGGAAGCCCAGGAGGATCCGTCCAGTTGCAAGGGTGAGGCAATGGCAGGGGTTGAGCAAGTGACTGGGGCACTGGTGTCTGATGAAAACAGTCTGCGGTGTGAAGCAAGAGAGCAGGCACGGGATGAAGAGAGCTGAATGGAAGGGGGATCAGGGTTCATTAAAGGAAGAAGCCTGAAGCGGCGGGTCACCATCAGGATTTCCAGGGAAGAGATGAGTTTTCCGCAAGATGGAAAACCTATATCGGGACTCCTAGCCAATCGGGAAGCCAAGCAGGAAACCAATCAGGGAACATACATAGGGAGGCCTAGCCAATTGGGAGGCCAGCAGGAAGCCAAGCAGGGAACTTATACAGGGAGTCGTAGCCATTTGGGAGGCCAGCAGGAAGCCAATCAGGGAACTTATATAGGGAGTCCTAGCCATTTGGGAGGCCAGCAGGAAGCCAATCGGGCCTGAAGGACTCTGTTCCCTAGAACTAGAAGTTTAACAACAGTTTCTGGCCAGGATCAGGGGTTCAAGTAAATCAGTGGGAAGGTTTAACTGAAGTATCCCTCACTATTCAAGTGTTTTGCCTCGGCAACCTGTTTCGCAACACATACACACACACACACGTTTTAGCAACGTTTCTACCAAAGCCCTGGCCTGGATCCTTTCTGTAGCAGGCAGGAGCCCTGCTCTGTGGTGCTAGACCCAACCCAAGAGTTACTTGGGGGGGTAACTTTTTCCATCCCCTGCCCTCCCCAAACACTGACTGTGTGTCTTTTCCCCTATTGAGATGGCCAATGTGTTGCCCCCTTGTGGCGCTCCTGATTAACCAGGGCGTTTAGGAGGGAGGACAGACAGGACTCGTCTAAAGGGGTATCTACAACCAGAATGCTAGTTTTTAAGTTCAGCTCTTGTGGCTTCAAATCCTGGGGCTTCAAATCTCATTTGGCCAGGGTGTTGGGAATCCTCTCTTGAGAGACTCGTGTCTTCCCTCACAGCGTTACAGTTCCCTGGGAAGGAGAAGTAACCATTATCCCAAGCTGAATTCTGTAGGGTAAATATGCCCTCTGCGCCTCCGTAGTGGAAAACTGGAGAGCTTGACCATAGAGATGACATTCTCCTTCCCTTCTCAGGTGCTGCAAGGCAGTTTGGCAGCTACTTCTCTATGGCTCTTTGGAGGACCGTGTGTATTCCACGCCAAAAAAAGTCAGGAACCCCAAATTCCGAGATTGGAATACATCGAGCAACTTGCACAATAGCCTAAATCTTGAACCCCCAACCTTTCGCTGTTAGGGTTTCTGTGTTTTAATAGGCATGTAGATGCAATAAGGGAATGTTATCCAGCCGCTTCAAGCACTAGGACATAACTGGCTGAACCTTCACAAATTCCAGTTTCTGATTTACAGTGATTGGCGCAAGAGCACTAATATCGGACGTTTGGCCATCCAGAGCCTCCGTATTAGTTTGTTGGTGAGAATCCTGGGCTCATTGGCTGAACTGCTGTGATGTCACAACATACAAAAGCATTTTAGAGACAGGCAGAGACCCCTCCCTAGTCTAGGGACTGCAATTCCCTTTAAACCAGGCTTTTGGCCAGCCATCTCTAGTTAAAAGTTATTTATACACGTTAGCTTCGACTTGCATAATTCCACGTCTGTTGCTGAAGTCTTTCAAATATTTTTTAAATGAAGGGGATGATAAAGGGGGAACTGAAATGACAAGGAATGTTTCCAACCATTTCTCCAAAATCAGGAGGTTCTCGGGATTAATTTAATTCCTCGTCAGACATCAGAGGCCGCACTGGCAGGGCATGCTTCCGGTTGTGGGGGATACGCAGAGTATTGCTTTAACAGTGAACCTCTTTCAGTAGCTGTCCAGATTGGCTGTCTAACATCGCTAGAAGTGAAGCAACTGGGTTCGCACGGTCTCTGCGGCCAATCCAGATCAAGTGACTCCTCGTATAAATGCTCAGCATGGACCGTAGGGGGAAGGACAAAAAGTTTTATTCCATCTCCATTGCTTCGTGTATCTCTGTTTAACTCTTTCACCGCACTTCACTTCAGCTTGCCGTATTATTATTTGCATTACGAAACCCGCAAGCCCATTAAGGTCACACTTAACAGCAATATGTACCTGCCCACCTCGCTTGTGAGTTCGTCGCAGGGGGCAAGTTGATGCTGTCGAAGAGAGACTTTTTTGTGAAATATTTGTGACTGGTTAAGCCCAAGGAGCAGGCCAAACAAAGACGAGCGCATGAAATTCGCATGTTCTTGTCCAAAGGCGCCCTGGGAAATTTTCAAGATCATGTACCCCCTACTTACTCTTAGGGCCTAGCTTTTGCTGTGAACCTCCGTCGCCCACGATGCAGGGGTGGGCCCTATCCTGTATCAGCGCTGGCACCTATTATCAGCGCCACGAGCTGCAATTCCACACGTTCCGCACCCGAGTTTCACAGCCAGATTGCAAGCTATCTATACAAAATATGAATATGCTTGTGCTTGTGTATACTCAGTTTTGCCAGGTTTGTCCCACCTCTAATGTGCACGCACACCATTCCTGCGTCTCCAAGGACATCCGGGAGCCCTGTAATGTTGGTCTGCGCAGCCGGTGCTTTTCCACCCACTGCCCTGTCCGCTGGAGTGATAAGGCTCAGGGTTGGATCTCCCACAAAGCTCCGAAACGGGTGCAATAAAATCTTCATTCCAGTCGAGAAACTCTCGCGAACCTTGCTGACCAATGGAGGCGAGTGAGATCCAGCTGCTGTCGTCTTTTGCGGACACCCTGGGATCCGGGGGCGCCCTCTCGACACTGGAAGGCCTCGCTGCTTCTCTGATGTGCCTTGGGGACTATAACAACATTGCTATTGCAATAAAACACAACTGTATTTACCAGACTGACTCGTCTCTGGTTACCAGCTCTGGTCCTAAACGTGCCTGTTTGCCCAGGTTGTGTCTGTGTGGGGGGAGGGGGAGAAAGGAATTGACAGTGAGCACAACAGAGCCCAAACTCAGTAGGGATGCCGGGCTCCAGGTGGGGCCTGGGTATCCCCCAGAATTACGGCTCATCTCCGGAATACAGAGATCAGTTTCCCTGGAGAAAATGGATGCTTTAGAGTGGGGACTCTACGGCATCGTGGCCCACTCAGGTCCCTGTCCTCCCCAGGCTCCATCCCCAAAATCTCCAGGAGTTTCTCAACCTGGATCTAGCAACCAGTGTGGGACCTGGCAACCCTAAAACATAGAAGAGTATTAACCTGTGAAATACTTGAACTCCCTGTATTTTCCAAACCACCTCAATGCAGGACAGAACATGTAATAAAACATGGGACTGTCACATTTACTAATCCCAAGGGCTGGATCCCACAGGGCTCTTCCACTATCTGAAATGCGTTCCGGGGGCAGAAGGAGACTTCCACTGATGCAGAATGAATTTTGGACTGGGGAAGGCACCTCTGCTAGTGGAAGGCATCCATAGCATCGACCCTGTCCAGGTGTTTCTGTTGCATATCTAACAAGAATCCGTGGAGAATCACCCTACACAGTAAATGTGGCCCTCGGGGATAATATAAAGGCATTCTCTGGCAGTTCCAGGGAAGAGGTTAGTTTCCTAGCCAATTGGGAGGCCAGGCAGGAAGCTAATCAGGGAACATATATAGGGAGTCCTAGCCAATTGGGGAGCCAATCAGGAAGCCAATCAGGGAACATATATAGGGAATCCTAGCCAATTGGGGAGCCAATCAGGAAGCCAATCAGGGAACATATATAGGGAATCCTACCCAGTTGGGAGGCCAGGCAGGAAGCCAATCAAGGAACATATATAGGGAATCCTACCCAGTTGGGAGGCCAGGCAGGAAGCCAATCAAGGAACATATATAGGGAATCCTACCCAGTTGGGAGGCCAGGCAGGAAGCCAATCAGGGAACATATATAGGGAATCCTACCCAGTTGGGAGGCCAGGCAGGAAGCCAATCAAGGAACATATATAGGGAATCCTACCCAGTTGGGAGGCTAGGCAGGAAGCCAATCAAGGAACATATATAGGGAATCCTACCCAGTTGGGAGGCCAGGCAGGAAGCCAATCAAGGAACATATATAGGGAATCCTACCCAGTTGGGAGGCCAGGCAGGAAGCCAATCAGGGAACATATATAGGGAATCCTACCCAGTTGGGAGGCCAGGCAGGAAGCCAATCAGGGAACATATGTAGGAAGTCCTACCCAATTGGGAGGCCAGGCAGGAAGCCAATCAGGCAGCATATATAGGGAGTCTTAGCCAACCTCCACCCTTTCTTAGCCCACGGGCACCTTTGGGATTCTGACATGGAGGGGTGGGCACAGCCACAAAACAGCTGCTGCGAGAGGTCGAGCCGACCACAAAATGTTGGGGGGGGGGGAGAGGTTATCTATAACGCTAACAGTAAATCTTCAGCATCTTCAGGCAGACGCTCTGTTTAACAGGACGCCTTTTAACGTGAGCCTATTTAAACGTCTTTTCGTGCTTACTCGCAGCTTACCTTCGGTCACACAATTTTTTAAAAAATCTGCACAGCCGATTATATCTCCAGTGGCCAATCGGAAGCCCTGCCGGTCAAAAGCCCCATCCGTCCTTTGCCCGCTTTCTAAAAAAACACTCGGTGGACACCAGGGAAGGTGTCAGCAGGTGTCGTGGCACTCACGGGCACCGTGTTGAGGACCCCTGTTCTCGGGTAACTCTTACCAGGGCTATTTTGGGGGCAGGAACGGAGTTCCGGCTGGCTTCAGAGTTGGCCACGCCCGCTACACTAGGGTTGCCAACTCCATCTTCCACCCCCAGCGGGGTACTTTGGGGGCGTTCCTGGAGGGAGTAGGGCATCCCCAACGTGATGACGTCACGTTGAGGACGTCTGCCACCACCACCCCACCTGCCCGTGTGCCGGATCTCCAGAAACGCAGGTTCCCTGCACTTAAAGTAGCCGGCAGCCGGCGTTTCCCCTTTAAGAGCAGCTGCGTTTCCCTTTTAAGAACGAAGCTGGCATTTCCCTGCAAGCTTGTGGAGTTCGCGCTTGGGATGAAACACGGGTTGCACATACTTAAAGGGAGAGAGAGGGGTGGCTGTGGGTGTTGGGGGTGGGCCTTCCCCCGCTGGCCATCTGGCCGCCAGCGGGTAGAACCCCCCAAAAACGGGGGACCCCTGGCAAACCAGGGGGTTTGGCAACCCTACGCTACACCCAAACCTCTACGTGCGTGGCTACAGAGGGAAGGCCTGGAGAGCGACCCCCCCCCAGCGACTCCAATGCGGGTGGGCCAAGGGGGGCCCTGGAAGGATCAGGGAGGCATTTAAATGCCTCCCCGTGCCTTCCCCGGCCTTCCCTTCCCTTCAAGGGGGGGGGGCTTGCCTGGGCAAGCCAAAGGAAGGCATGGGGGTGTGGCCTAATGTGCTAAAGAGCTGTGCTGTCAGGGGTGTGGCTTAATATGCTAATGGGTTTCTGCTGTTGGGTGTGGCCTGTTATGCTAATGAGTTCCTGCTGGGCTTTTTCTACCAAAAAAAAAGCCCTGACTGTTACAATATTTCAGTAAAACCACAGTCCGCTCTCATCCAGCTAGGTAAAAGCTTCCGGCTCAAAGGGTGAGATTTCCGGTGGGAGGGCTCAGTGCCTCTGTTTATTGTTTTAAGGACTGGCCTTGATACCCTTGTTGTTGTTCAGTCGCACAGTCGAGTCCGACTCTTCGCGACCCCATGGACCAGATCACGCCAGACCTTCCTGTCTTCTGCCGTCCTCTGAAGTTTGCTCAACTTCATGTTCGTTGCATCTCTGACACTGTCTCACCATCTCATCCTTTGCCGTCCCCGTCTTCTTTGACCTTCAATCTTTCCCAGCATCACGGTCTTCTCCAGTGAGTGCTCCCTTCTCATTGGGTGGCCAAAGTATTTGAGCTTCAGCTTCATTATCTGGCCTTCCAGGGAACAGTCAGGGTTGATTTCTTTTAGGATTGACTGATTCGATCTCCTTGCAGTCCAAGGGACTCTCAAGAGTCTTCTCCAGCACCATAGTTCAAAAGAATCTATTCTTTGGCGCTCGGCCTTCCTTATAGTCCAACTCTCGCAGCCATACATGACTACTGGGAATACCATTGCTTTGACCATGCGGACTTTTGTTGGCAGGGTGATGTCTCTACTTTTTATCATGCTGTTTAGGTTCGCCATCGCTTTCCTCCCAAGGAGCAGGCGTCTTTTAATTTCATGGCTGCTGTCACAGTCTGCGGTGATCTGGGATCCCAGGAACGTGAAGTCTGTCACTACTTCCACGACTTCCCCTTCTATTTGCCAAGGAGTGATGGGGCCGGATGCCATGATCTTAGTTTTTTGATGTTGAGCTTCAAGCCCAGTTTTGCGCTCTCCTCTTTTACTCTGAGCAAGAGGCTCTTAAGGTCCTCTTCACTTTCTGCCATTAGAGTGGTATCGTCTGCATATCTGAGGTTGTTGATCTTTTCCCCAGCAATCTTAATTCCCGCTTGTGATTCATCCAGGCCAGCATTTCGCATGATGTACTCTGCATATATAGTAAATAAGCAAGGTGACAATATACATCCTTGTCGTACTCCTTTTCCTATGCTGAACCAATCAGTTGTTCCATATCCGGTTCTAACTGTCGCTTCTTGACCCTTATACAGGTTTCTCAAGAGACATGTGAGGTGGTCTGGTACTCCCATCCCTTTAAGGACCAGCCATAGTTTGTTGTGATCCACACAGTCAAAGGCTTTAGCATAGTCAATGAAGCAAAAGTAGATCTTTTTCTGGTACTCTCTTGCTTTCTCCATAATCCAGCGAATGTTGGCAATTTGATCTCTAGTTCCTCTACCTCTTCGAAACCCAGCTTGTACTTCTGGCCGTCCTCTATCCACGTACTGTTGAAGCCTAGCTTGTGGGATCTTGAGCATGACCTTGCTAGCGTGTGGTATGAGTGCAATTGTGCGATAGTTTGAACATTCCTGGGCATCGCCCTTCTTTGGGATTGGAATGTATACTGACCTTGATACCCTCGGACATCAGGAAAAGACACACCTCAGTGGCAGAGCACATGCCTGGCACACAGAAAGCCTCACGCTCTAGGTAAAACAAGTTCTCAACAGAGCTGGGGGAAGCCTCAGAGAACAGCTGCCAGTCACAGTAGACAGGAGAGGGACCGGCGTGTCTTTTGCAACGATCGCCACCCCTTTCCCGGTGACCCATTCCCCATACCGAGGCAGAAGCCAACAGAGAATTGGGCGGGCACATCGCCCCGGAGGAGCCGTCCTGGCATCCTTTCTAGTTGTTCAGCTTGGCAGGGCCCGGCGAGCCTCCCTGCTCTCTGAGTCACCCGCTGGGCCGATGCCAGGAACGCTCCCGGCCAAGCCAAAGGAAACTTCACATTCCTTTCCTCTTGCCAAAGAGAACAGGCGGTACCGGGCTGCTCGGCACAGGGAAATCCACATTACGGGTGGATCGCTGAGAACCTGCCGACCTCACCCCAGTACAGAGGGCAGAAGGGGCAGCACCCAAACAAGAAGACCCCTCCTCGCGGTCACTGAATCATAGAGTTGGAAGGGACCTCTGGGGTCATCTAATCCAACCCCCTGCAGAAGGCAGGAAATCCACAAATTCCTCCCCCCCTCACACACACCCAATGACCCCTGCTCCATGCCCGGAAGATGGCCAGCAGTGTTCCCCCTAAGACAAGTTAATGTGAGCTAGCTCACACTTTTTTAGCCTCCGGCTCACACATTTTTGTCTTTGCTCAGGAACGATATGCAAATGAGTTATGCTAATGAGTCAGGCTAATGAGTGCCTGCACCTCTTTTTCTACTAAATGACCCCTGAGCAAGACTCTAGATTTCAGTTGTCAAATGAAGCATCTGTTTGCTAAGCTTTA